TATATTGAATAGTTTTGAATCCATGTGCGTATGTCTACAAAAAAAGCACTTAATCAACAATTGGAGTAGAAAAATGAGAAAAGCCCATCAAGCCCATGCCTTGCGCCTCAAAAAAAAACCCTCGCCTCAGCGCCTAAGCTGCGCCTTGCATGTTGTGCCTCACCTCGATCTGTTCGAAGCGCAATGAGGCGCATTGCGCCTCGCGCCTAAGCGCGCCTTTTAAAACACTGGTGTGGGTTTGTGTATAGTGTGATGAACGGTGCATGGGGTGTGACAAGCAAGATGAAAGTGTGCCATGGAGAAGTGGGGGAGGCAGTGAAGAGACAAATTACAGGTGGGGAAGTGGGAGTGAAAAAGACAACGGCATTTTTGTGATTTTGTAGAATCATAAGAGTGTTTTGTCTTAAAAAATACTCACTCTCAGCAAAGGCGCATAAGTCACACCTTTAGTTAATTTAGACAGAAATTGTGACAGGGAATTTAGCTCATAAACCATAAGGAGTGGAGTGTTTATTTTTTAACATCAAGGGGTAATTTGCACATTAACTACCATAGAGGGGGAGGGATGTAAAGTGAAATTTGCCCCTTTTTTATATGTAATGGAATTGTATTAAAAGAGAATCAAGGGGACGCATCCCACACATAAAAGTAAAACCTATATCATGATCTTGAAAGACTGAAAAATAAGCTTCTTAGAAAATTAAATCAACAAAAAATTCCAAAATTTGTCCTAGGATAAATATAAACCCCTTAAAGATCCACCTATACAAAATACAACAAAATAACTTGAGTTAGTATGTAGGTTCATCTATTTCACAAAAGATCTCCTATAACATTTTCCCCATATGATCCGCAAGGCACAAACGGGTCAAAAGCCACACCTTACTCCTCTTCCCTACTCTGCCACCCAACCAAGCATGCAATAAGTCTGCAACACCTCTTGGGAAGGATCAAGACATCCCAAAGATCAAAAGGCTCATGTCCCATATAACCCCTTTGCCACACTACTATGTAGCAATGAGGGTCATTTCCCTCGTCACACTTGCACATACAACACCAACTAACCGTGATGTGTCTTCTTGTGATAATATGGATGTCCCCTACGCAGCCACCTTACCAAGCACGAAAGAAGTCTGTGACACCTCTTGGAAAGCATCAATCCCAGACATCAAAAGGCTTATGTCTCGTATAACTCCTTTGCCACCCTACAATTTAGCAATGCGGGTCATTCTCATTGTCACATTTGCATGTGCCATCTTTTGATAAGATGTTGATAGTGCTTTCATGTTTTGGGAGGATCAAAAAGGGCCAAAGTGCTTTGGTATTGTGCCGTCTTTGCAACTTTTTGGGTTTTATAGTTGGAAAGGAAGCACGCATTTTTGAAGAAAAATCTCAGCATGTGGAATTTTTCTTGGATAAAAACTTGTCACTTAACTTACTTTTGGGGCTTCGGTGAACCCCCTTTTTTAAGGAAATTCCACTGTATTTGTTAGCTAGAAATTGGTTGTTGGTGTGTGATATGTAGGAATTTGTTGATGTAGTCTTTATTTGGGTTATGTATTTTTCTTCCTTTATTTTTCTTATTTGTAGAGGATGCCTCATCCTCATCTCTTTTTGATTAATCAATAAAATTCTTTGTTATTGATCCCCAAAACAAAACAAAAAAAAAAAATATGATGGTAATGAGAACTTTCTTAGGAATTGCATTCCAACAGCACAAAAAAGCCACTTTCGAAGGGGGCACACACTGACCAAATCCATTTCCAAGGGGGGCGCACACACTATCGCCAATGCCAACCTTCAATTTGACATAACCCACAAAATCCAACCAATCCTTTATGATTCCTTTCCACAACTCTTTTCCCACAGCCGTAAGACTTGTCCACCTCCGATGAATCCCAATCACCCTAAGTTGTGCCATATTTAGTTGAGACAACTTGGCTCCAAAGTCTCTCCCTCTTCAATGCAAATCTCCAAAGCTACTTCCTCAATAAAGGAAATCACACTAAAGTTTCTATAGCCTCTTGGCGACGAAGTCTAGGCTATAGATAGATGACATATAGTATGTAGGCAAACTTGACAAAATACTTTTGACAAGAATAAGCTGCCTTCCTTGTGATAGATAGTGCTTCTTCCATCCCGTTATCCTCCTTTGAAGTTGCTCAACCACCCCATCCCAAACAAAAATGGATTTGAAAGAAGAATCAAGAAGAAACCCCAAATAAATAGTTGGATGAAACCCTACCCCACAATCAAAAACAAAGGCCAAAAATTCTAGGATTATTCACCATTTGTTCTGAAGGAATACGTAAAATAAAAGAGAACTACTGAACATGATAGTATATATATATAAACATACATGCAAATTATAATATTTCCATAATTATATCTATAATTTTGACCAACATTTGCAGTGTTCACATATAAATCAATTGTTTGGGATGTTCTAAATAAGTGCACTTTTTGACTTTTTATGAAATATGGGTTGGGTTTGAAGTGATGTGGTAGAGAGGTGATGTGACTTAAATAAGATGATGTGACTTAAATAGGATAGTTAACCCGTTTGGTAGAGCTGTGAGAAAGTGATTATAGCTTATAACTGTGAACATAAACTGATTTTTGACTTATAAATTAAGCTTCTCCTCCCCCACTCAAAGAATAAGTTGATTTTTGACTTACAAAAAGCTATAAGTTATATTGTTAAGTTGAACCAAACACATCAAAATAGCTTAAATTAAGCTAAAACCTGAAATAAGCTGGAAATAAGCCTTACCAAACAGGGCCAGTGACTTTTTGACTTTTTGGCTTTTTCTGAAGACGCCAAACTTAGCCTTAGATTATCTTTTTCTTCCTTTTTTCTTTTACTTTCAAGACTAAATGTTCAACAAGCTTTTCAAAAAATAACTAAATTACACACATAATGTACAGCTCTTCCTGCAACTACAAACATATTGATGGACAGTTAGGGCCCCAAACAAACCCTCACAAAACCCCCACCCAAGATAGAGAGGATACGTTTAAAAAAGTGAAATAAATAAGGCTAAATTACACTTACACCCCCTGAAGTTTGAGTTTAATACATATCACCCCTCTATGAATCTTACTTAAATATTTTAATTTATCTTAAATGAGAGCTGTGTGATTGAGATTAAATTAGTATAGTGTAAAATATATATGTAAAATAAATTTTAAATCATAAGATGACAATTTTAAATAATTTTTAAATAATTAAATTTAAATTTATAATATTAACGGATAAAAAAAGCAATTATTTACACGTTGACTAAAAGTCATCAAATAATGTTGAAAAGAAGCCACTTGTCTATTTTCCGTTTCAACTTATTTTCAATGCCAATAGTTATTGTACTTAATATTCCAATGTACCAAAAAAAAAAAAAAAAAAAAAAAATTTTTTTTTTTTTACCCCCAAAAAAAAAAAAAAAAAAAAAAAAAAAATGATAGTAATGAGAACTTTCTTAGGAATTGCATTCCAACAACACAAAAAAGCCACTTTCGAAGGGGGCACACACTGACCAAATCCATTTCCAAGGAGGGCGCGCACACTATCGCCAATGCCAACCTTCAATTTGACATAACCCACAAAATCCAACCAATCCTTTATGATTCCTATCCACAACTCCTTTCCCACAGCCATAAGACTTGTCCACCTCCAATGTATCCCAATCACCCCAAGTTATGCCATATTTAGTTGAGACAACTTGCCTCCAAAGTCTCTCCCTCTTCAATGCAAATCTCCAAAGCTACTTCCTCAATAAAGGAAATCACACTAAAGTTTCTATAGCCTCTTGGCGACGAAGTCTAGGCTATAGATAGATGACATATAGTATGTAGGCAAACTTGACAAAATACTTTTGACAAGAATAAGCTGCCTTCCTTGTGATAGATAGTGCTTCTTCCATCCCGTTATCCTCCTTTGAAGTTGCTCAACCACCCCATCCCAAACAAAAATGGATTTGAAAGAAGAATCAAGAAGAAACCCCAAATAAATAGTTGGATGAAACCCTACCCCACAATCAAAAACAAAGGCCAAAAATTCTAGGATTATTCACCATTTGTTCTAAAGGAATACGTAAAATAAAATAGAACTATTGAACATGATAGTATATATATATAAACATACATGTAAATTATAATATTTCCATAATTATATCTATAATTTTGACCAACATTTGTAGTGTTCACATATAAATCAGCATTAGATTATCTTTTTCTTCCTTTTTTCTTTTACTTTCAAGACTAAATGTTCAACAAGCTTTTCAAAAAATAACTAAATTACACGCATAATGTACGGCTCTTCCTGCAACTACAAACATATTGATGGACAGTTAGGACCCCAGACAAACCCTCACAAAACCCCCACCCAAGATAGAGAGGATACGTTTAAAAAAGTGAAATAAATAAGGCTAAATTACACTTACACCCCCTGAAGTTTGAGTTTAATACATATCACCCCTTTACGTTTGGGAAATTACACTAACCCCCCGTTCATTGTAATTATTTAGACGGAATTAATGTCGGTATCAAAAAGACATTGAATTCATACATTCTTTCTTTTCTTGCTTTGCTTTACGTCTTCTGTTTATTCTTTTTCTTTTCTTTGCTTTACTTTTTTTTTTTTAAATATAATTTCCTTTGTTTTTCAACCAGGAGTTGTTGCCTTTTATATAAACAAGGGGATTTGTGAAATGAGACTATCAACCACAAGGGTGGGAATGTAATTTCCATAACGTCAGGGGGTGGGATGTAATCGGACCAAACCTCAAGGGGTGTCAGTGTAATTTACCCAATAAATAAATACATGTCAAATCATAACAACCAGCAATTTACAACTATTATCTTTTAGGGTAAAAAATTAGGTAAAAGTGCACAAGTTAGATTAATGTCATAAACATTAACATTAACATATAAAAAAATTAAAAAACCCAAAGACATCAAACCTTAATTGCACAACTTGAACCAAAAAAAAAAACTATACATACTAAATATGTGTTAAATGCATTCTCCATGCAATATTCAGCATCCTTGCTTGACTGATCCAACATGAAGTATGTTAGTCCCATCATTTCCTGCACCAAAAGTAGACAAAAATGTTGCGTGATAATAAGAAGTTGGCACAACTATATATCAATAATGCAAAATATACAGTTGACATCGAAAGCAAAGAAAGCATAATAAAAAGAAAAGACAATCAGATTCAATTTTATATCAGAACTGCGGAGGAAATTATTTTTTATTTTTAAATATTTGTTCTAGACTTTGGAAAAGGAGTGATGAAGGGTTGAGGTTTTGGTGATTTAATCAAGTAAAGAATAAGATGATAAATGGGACTATTATGGGCCAACAACTGTTTGTACCCATTAATAGTTAACAAAGGCTCTTATGTGTTCTTTTGAGTATGTACTAGGATTGAGTAATCATGGAAGACAACATATTGGATTTGTGATGCACTCCATAAAAATAGCAAGAAAAAAAGTATACTAAAGAAAGCAGCAAAAATTGGAGATTGACATAATTTAAGGCGATGCCAGTGGGATCCATGAATAATAATGTGGTGCTAAGATAGTTGTGACTAGGGCTGGGCATAGGGTTATCCAACCCACAAAAACTGCCGAACCCAAACCACCCGCACCTATTTGGGCGGTTTTGTATAATCGTTAGAGTCGGATGCGGATTAGGATTTTCTTGTTTTGCGGGTTGCGGACAGGTCGTGGGTTTTACTTGCACTCGCATTCGCACTCACCCACCTGCATCTGTATACATTGTTTAGCTTATACCTTTTCTACAAAGTGAATGTGAGTCAATTGACTGATCCTAGCCTGTGCTTATGGTCTATTTCCTTTTGGAAGTAAATTGGATAGATAGGTCGTAATTTATTTGGGATAAATCATTTGGAAAATAATGATTTCATGATAAGAAATATGTAATTTTATGGCCCAAAACAATATTTAAAAAATGGGAAGAAAAGTCCCAAAAAGAATATTTAAAAAATGGGAAAAAAACATGCCGAAAAATAAAATTTTAAAAGAAAAGCCCAATCCACAAACCGCCCGCACATCCACGAACCCTATCCGCACAAATCGCAATCCGCACTTGCGGGTAGATCCAAACTACAAATTGAACCGTCAAAAACCAATCCGCGAGCACCCCTAGTGGTGGCAATGATTGTGGTAATGATGGCATGATAATTGCGGTGATAAGATAGTGGGGTGGAGGTAGTTGTGTGAGGTAGGGTAGAGTTATTGAAGGTGGTGGTAGCGGAGTGATGGCGATGGTGGTGGTAATAGTGGTGATGTGATGATGGAGGTAGCGGGTGGTGGGGCAAGGTGGTGGCAGTGTTGTGATAGTTCTGGTGGCAATAGCAATGGTAGTTGTATAGTCATGCTGGGGGTGATAGTCCGACAGTGGCATTGGTGGGGTGATGGCAGTACACCTCAATGGTGTCATAATCATAACACATTAAACATTTCAACATTCAGCATTTCGAATTAAGTAAGAAGTTTATGACTTAAAATTTGAGTATATTATTAAGATGTGCATAAAATTTTAAGTGATATTAATTGTCATTATCAAACGGATTTAATTTATTTTCACTTAATACATTCAATTTTAAGTGTTGAATTGGCTTATCAAACACCACCTTAGTATATTAACTAGAAATTCAAGCCCTATAAAAGTTAGGGGGTCTCTAAAGTCTAAATAAGTCATGTAATGGATCTAATTCAACAAGATCAATTTTATAGATTATTCTTATGTTTTGGAAACACTGTGGGATTGTGCAATGCAATTATAACCTTACGTGTAGTGAATGTAAAAGCTAAGCATGAAGCCTAGACTTTTCCTCTTCCAGTTTCAATTTCCAACATGTTTAACCTTAAAAATTCCAATAAAATAAAATAAAATACTAAAACCAGTTTGAATTGTCTCTCTTTTTTTTTTTAATAATACATTTTCATTATAAAAACTAATAAAAATTTTAAAAAATAAAATAATGGAACGTCGCCCTTGTACAAAAGAGAAGCAATATTAACCACACACCAAAAAAACAAAAAAAGTAAGCCCCCATACTCCACGTGTCATAAAACTAAAAAAATTAAGAATTGATCAAGAGAAGGGTTACTAACCTCCAGCTATACAGAAAACATACAAAAAAAAACCTTTACAACATCGAAAGACCTACTGTTCTTTTCCCTCCAAATGATCCACATAATGCATAATGAAATCAGAAACCCCACTCTCTTCCTCCTCTTCCCTACTCTAGCCTCCCACCAACTATACAAAAAAGATCAACCACTCCCACTGGGAAAACCTACTCCATACTAAACCAAGAATGATACAGTATAAACACAGTTTTGAAGTTACCTGTACACCAGCATAGCGTTTCCACACTTTGTCAATCTTGTAATCCGTGGAAAGTAGTCGATAATTTGACAGTGCGAGTTCATAATCTCGTAGCATGAAGGCATAATCACCTAAAACTCTTATTTGAGATTCAATGGAGCTAAAAGTATACCTTCAATAGTGATTATAACAACTAAATTAGAAGAAGAAAGAGGCATGCAGCAAAAAAATAAAATAAACCATAAAAACATACATAGGACCATTCTGGGTGTCTGGTGTATCTTCTTTCCCTTTTCTCCACCATAAGTTTTTTATTTGATTTCTGAAACCTCTCCTTGTTGCAGAGACCTAAACAGATGTAAGATTAAATTGGGAAGGAAATAGGATAAGACAAAGACAGGTGACAATAATTGATGTTAAAACCTTCACCTACCACTACCACCTTCACCTACCACTACCACCTACCACACACACTCACCTACTTCACCTACTCTCCACCTACTCCTCACCTACTACACACTCACCTATTCTCTTCCCAAATCCTCTCCTATATAATAGGAATCCTTGTAATATACACAACACACAAATCAATCAATAATACATCAATTTTAACAATTGACTTGGGAAGTACAAGTCAATCATAATATTCGAAATTTTTAAAAAAAATGGAAGTAAAATACCTGTTGATTAAGGACACGGATTTTTTGCTCCATGTGAGGAATTATGTGTTTAGATGACAGATCTTGCATGACATTTTGTAGCTGTTTCAATTCATAAAAAGTTGACATCTTGGTCATAATTTCAAGTGTAAGCAAAACTATTAAGAGTGAAGTCCTCAAATCCACCATAAGTTTTTTATTTGATTTCTGAAACCTCTCCTTGTTGCAGAGACCTAAACAGATGCAAGATTAAATTGGGAAGGAAATAGGATAAGACAAAGACAGGTGACAATAATTGACTTGGGAAGTACAAGTCAATCATAATATTCGAAATTTTTAAAAAAAATGGAAGTAAAATACCTGTTGATTAAGGACACGGATTTTTTGCTCCATGTGAGGAATTATGTGTTTAGATGACAGATCTTGCATGACATTTTGTAGCTGTTTCAATTCATAAAAAGTTGAGATCTTGGTCATAATTTCAAGTGTAAGCAAAACTATTAAGAGTGAAGTCCTCAAAAAAATTTCAGCACATCAAGCTAAATAAGATTGAACAAAGAACCTCATCCATATCATCAATGTTAAGAAAGCAACCAAGACGATGATTCGGTGAAGACTCAGTTCTCTGCCATAGACATCAGAATACAGCCTTTTAACATATTTTATCCACTTAAACAAATCCTCACTTTGAATATGAAAGATGGAAGCACAAAAAAAGAATTTACAATGCCAAACTTTAGCTTACATGAAGAGCCCATGGATTTTCCTGATGTTCTACTAAACCATCTTGAGAGGAGTTAACGCACAGCAGCCCACAATCATTTGAGCCAAATGTACTCCTCATCTCCGTTAAAAATTTGGTTGTTCTGCAAAAGAAATTATTAAAAAAATCAATCTTATTAGATTTAAGCAGCACATGCTTAATAAAGGAAAAATTATAAAAGAATAAGCAAAAATTATTAAGAATCACATGTCGTGGCAAGTTTTTGTTTTGCGGTTTCTGGTCTGTTTGCAAGAAGATAAAGAGTGAAGTTACTTAAGACATGAACTTAGAACCACTTGACATGTGAAGTGTATTAGGAACTCAGTGGCATCTCAAAGCCGCCAATACCAACCCCCAGAAATATATATTTATATATATCAGTGCATTTTGCCGCACTCTTGCATACCTCAGCAAATCAACTTTCAAAATTTTTGAGTGTCTACAAAATTTATAAATTAGTTCTCGATGTTAATTTGTTTGTTTTCATTTATTTATCTTTTTAATTTTTAACTTGTCAGGAATAATTTTTTTTGTTCATTGGTGGAGTTCACAACTGAACATATTGATACTCAAAATCACTTGCATATTTAGTACATTACTTTATAGATTAAAATCAAAATCATAAGATACTGCAGAACCAGTATATGTGAAAGTAGTGAAAAGCACCAAAAGATTAGTAGAATGAATAAGAAGGCTAGCATGATTGGCAGTGTGGATGTACTACTGAAAAAAAGTATCACGTTAGAAGTAAATCTACAAACATAATCCAGTAGACAATCCAGTATTGTAACCCCCATTGATCAAGAGTCCTTGCACCTTACTAGGAGGTTAGGTATCCGACACTCCCACCTATGTGTTGGCCATTCCCTCTTACTTTTGTTTGGGTATTTATTGTGTTTGTTGTATGCTTGTAGTTATGTGTCGAGTTTTATTGTATGCTTGTAATTATGTGTTGGACTTTCTTATTGTTGAATGTTCAATTTGATGTAATTCTCATCATCTTTGTGATTTATCTCCTAGTGATTGACTCAAAAAAAATTCAGTCTTGTAACCTTATATGTGGTTGCATAAAGAACAGGCCATGGAATCAAGAATCATTATTTACTAGGCCCACATAAATTTAAGAAGACCCAAGAGAAACTCAGCTTCCCATTTAAGTTTTCTCACAGATGATAATCCTACCACCAATCTTAAGCCGCTCAAACCAAAATAACAAAAACTGCATTTGGTTTAAAGTTCCAAAGATTCACCATTACGACAGCTATTTGGGACACAGGATAGCATTATATCTTTTAAGATTATACAATAGTATATATATAAAAAAATAAAAAATAAATAAAAAAAGACCCATTGCCCAGTAATGGTCTCATCAATCCTAAATGATGGGAAATTCAAACTGCAAGCAAGTTAAGCACTAGCTTAATACCACAAAGTGGTTGCTCTGAAATTCAAACATGTGCTTACACTTCACTGCCTGAACTTTATAATATCAGAGGAACGATGACGAGAATGGATTTTATAGTCTAACAAATGATGACGTCATCATTTTCCATATGTTTGACTAATAGATGACAAATGTTATGGGCCAAAGTATTATAGATTTTATAGTTGAAGGGAGCATGGTGTAAATATGCCAAACTGTGGGACAAACTGTAATTCTTCATTACTTAAGGGATGTGTTACATGGACTCGTAAATTTTCTCCGAAGTACCCGTGTCCACCGAATATGACAAGGCTAAAAGTGTGGGATATGTGTCCAACACCCGTACCCAATTTAGACACTTAAATCCTCTAATTTTTTATGTTGTTTCAAGATGAAAAAGCTCACATTTACTAGTAAATAAACATTTATAACCTCTCACATGGATGAGAAATATAAATTACATATTTTATAAGAATATTATACAATAGGCAATGTATAATATAAGTGTCCACAATGCATCCTAATACTCATATCCAACTTTTGGATACTTATTCCAATATCCTAAGATTTAGGCTTATGAAAGTAGGATGCTTGGACATGCACTTGCACTCGATACTCGTACCCAAATCCATGTCACATAGCTCAGGGGAGGTCAGTGTAATTTCCCCTTTCTTTCAATTTGCATCGTACTTAGATATCAAAGGCAGCAAATTTAACATATATGATTGTTGTTCATTTCCTTCACAATGTTTGTTCGCTTTTTCATATTCTGAATTTTAACATAATAAGAAAGGAATGAGTTCATGTACTTCTCTGATGTGCCATCTTGGTTATCATGCAGCAACAGATAATACTTCAGAATCTTTGGATCCATTGCTCCATCACTAAGAAGTGAAGGCAACTGATCACTGTTAAAAAGGTCAACAAATCTATTGATAGGCTCTTCATCCTTTGAAGAAACAACCAAAAGACCTGCAAGTCAAGTTGAACAAAGGATACAATCAAGTAATCATTCCAAAAAGGTAAAAGACCATAATCTGACATCATAAGCAGAAGAGATCAAAACGACCAAACTTGAGGAGAGACATAGAAAGAGAGGGGCAAACAGAAAAGTATTAGAAGAAGAAATACAAGAGCTTACATGCCACAGGATGGTCAAAAGCTTCATGATCTGAAAAAGAGACTGTTCGTACTAGCTCTTTGTTGAAGAACGGAAACCATGACGGTATGAGTTCAGATTGGGAGGCTGCACCACCAAAGAAATATTTATATGTGTCCATATATATCAGTCATTCAAAACATTGCACGTGAAAATTAACTGAAAAAGATTAGAACAAAAATGGAGACACTATAACAGATCTAAAACCACTATTGTAAAACAAGAAGATAAAACGAGGTAGCTGCAGTAAATTGTAATTAAAGAAAGCTAACAACAAATATATTTTCACAAATTCATATATACTTCGAAACCCATAAACAACTGCGACCATTTCATATAAGATTGCAAAACTATACAAGTTACAACTTACTAGTGAGTACAGTCTCAATTTGAGGTGGGTCTGAACACAAGTTCAAAAAATTTTCCTCCCCTGCATGAGTAATAACCTCTTTCACCCGCTCCTTTGCAACCTAATTAAATGGAAACCTTTTTTCAGAAAGAACAAGCTACAAAACCCAATGAAAGACACATAATAAATGGTGTTTGAACTTCTTCATCCATCCACCTTTATAAAAAACACATGCTTTCTTTTTGCCTATCATCAATTAATAAATTGTGTGAATGAACTGACTATCAACAAGTTAATACATTCAGCAAAATAAAAATAAAAATAAAAAATTATAAAATTTCAAATATGTTGATCAGATTTCCATAAGATTAATCAAAACAACTAACGCAATTAACTGCTAACCTGAGTGCAACAATTCTTTCTTCAACTCCTAAATGACAACCAAAAAATTAAAATAAACTAATAATGAAACTTTGCATTGGTTTCATTTTCCTTCATTTTACCAGCAACCAAACAGAAAATTTAACAATAAATCACCTCTACATCGGGCTGCCGAATGTCAGACGCGTAGAACAACCGTAACTTGAACTTCTGAAGCCTGTAGGGTTGATCACTCGCTGTCCGTACAGGTACTGTCACAAATTTCACACCAAAATCACATCAAAACCCCCAATTCTCTACACACAAACGCACATTCTATATACATATTTACATATACATGTATAGTTACCATCAATGTTGTCGAAGGCACAGAAAGGGCTGAGCATTTGAATCAAGCTGAGGCCATTCTTTTGACAAGTCTCTTCGACGAGGTTCGTTCGAAGCACCATGACAACGGGTGTGATCTCGTCCAATAACATTCGTCCGAGTGGAGTGTTCGCCGGATCCACCATCTTGCTGCCCTAGCACCACCGCAACCGCCGCCAACAACCACCGTGATAACGGCGACGCTGACTCGCGCGACTCCACCACTCACTGGGTCAACTCGGGATGTGAGAATTGATCAGAGATCTCGCTGTACACATTAGAAATGGACGATCCGAAGCTCGTCCGCAAGGCATATGCGAATGAGGTTAACGATGAGCCGAAGGGCCATAAATTAACTAGACCTTGGGCCTCCAATTTACATGCCCACTACAAAGAAGGCCGATGTCTATAATACCAAAATAATTGGAAAAAATCAATAATTACTAGTTAGTCTTACCGATCACTTATTTACTTACGAGTCCTTAGTGAAAATTTTATAGAACTATGAATTAGAAATTTATTAGTGTAACATATTCACTTTTGTTTTTGTTTATATGTAGTTGTGAGTTTTATTTGATAAATTCGTAAATTTATAGATGATAATTGTTTATGTATTAGCAGAATTTATTAGTAAATAAATCTGATATATAGGACTGACTTGTAAATACCACTTGGGAAAAAATACAAAAATTACTCCTTTGACGTTTGTAATAAATTAAAACACTATATTTTTAAATTTATTTGAATTAAGCCCTACACTTATAAACCGATCACAATTCAAACTATTTTGTCTATCGCCGTAAACTTGTGTAGCAAAGGTAACATCTTATAATACACATGTCACTCTTTTGTTAGCTTTTTTTCTTTTTTTCCCTTTTACTATTCATTTTAAAACATCTATTATCAAATTGTCTTTTTTCTTCATTTGTACAATCACTATTCCTATATCATTATCACTTATTTAAATTTATATTTTTTAAAAACGCTACTGCTCAACGACCGTCTTCTCTACCAGCTCTTTTGCATCAACCTCTCATTCATTACCTTTACAAGAAGATAAAAGGAGGTAGCTGCAGTAAATTGTAATTAAAGAAAGCTAACAACAAATATATTTTCACAAATTCATATATACTTCGAAACCCATAAACAACTGCTACCATTTCATATAAGATTGCAAAACTATACAAGTTACAACTTACTAGTGAGTACAGTCTCAATTTGAGGTGGGTCTGAACACAAGTTCGAAAAATTTTCCTCCCCTGCATGAGTAATAACCTCTTTCACCCGCTCCTTTGCAACCTAATTAAATGGAAAACCTTTTTTCAGAAAGAACAAGCTACAAAACCCAATGAAAGACACATAATAAATGGTGTTTGAACTTCTTCATCCATCCACCTTTATAAAAAACACATGCTTTCTTTTTGCCTATCATCAATTAATAAATTGTGTGAATGAACTGACTATCAACAAGTTAATACATTCAGCAAAATAAAAATAAAAATAAAAAATTATGAAATTTCAAATATGTTGATCAGATTTCCATAAGATTAATCAAAAAACTAACGCAATTAACTGCATTAGGTTCACCTGAGTGCAACAATTCTTTCTTCAACTCCTAAATGACAAGCAAAAAATTAAAATAAACTAATACTGAAACTTTGCATTGGTTTCATTTTCCTTCATTTTACCAGCAACCAAACAGAAAATTTAACAATAAATCACCTCCAGATCGGGCTGCCGAATGTCAGACGCGTAGAACAACCGTAACTTGAACTTCTGAAGCCTGTAGGGTTGATCACTCGCTGTCCGTACAGGTACTGTCACAAATTTCACATCAAAATCACATCAAAACCCCCAATTCTCTACACACAAACGCACATTCTATATACATATATACATATACATGTATAGTTACCATCAATGTTGTCGAAGGCACAGAAAGGGCTGAGCATTTGAATCAAGCTGAGGCCATTCTTTTGACAAGTCTCTTCGACGAGGTTCGTTCGAAGCACCATGACAACGGGTGTGATCTCGTCCAATAACATTCGTCCGAGTGGAGTGTTCACCGGATCCACCATCTTGCTGCCCTAGCACCACCGCCACCGCCGCCAACAACCACCGTGATAACGGCGACGCTGACTCGCGCGACTCCACCACTCACTGGGTCAACTTGGGATGTGAGAATTGATCAGAGATCTCGCTGTGCACATTAGAAATGGACGATCCGAAGCTCGTCCGCAAGGTATATGCGAATGAGGTTGACGATGAGCCAAAGGGCCATAAATTAACTAGACCTTGGGCCTCCAATTTGCACGCCCACTACAAAGAAGGCCCATGTCTATAATACCAAAATAATTGGAAAAAATCAATAATTACTAGTTAGTCTTACCGATCACTTATTTACTTACAAGTCCTTAGTGAAAATTTTATAGAACTATGAATTAGAAATTTATTAGTGTAACATATTCACTTTTGTTTTTGTTTATATGTAGTTGTGAGTTTTATTTGTTAAATTCGTAAATTTATAGATGATAATTGTTTATGTATTAGTATGATTTATTAGTAAATAAATCTGATCTATAGGATTGACTTGTAATTACCACTTGGGAAAAAATACAAAAATTACTCCTTTGACATTTGTAATAAATTAAAACACTATATTTTTAAATTTATTTGAATTAAGCCCTACACTTATAAACCGATCACAATTCAAACTATTTTGTCTATCTCCGTAAACTTGTGTAGCAAAGGTAACATCTTATAATACACATGTCACTCTTTTGTTAGCTTTTTTCTTTTATTCCCTTTTACTATTCATTTTAAAACATCTACTATCGAATTGTCTTTTTTCTTCATTTGTACAATCACTATTCCTATATCATTATCACTTATTTAAATTTATATTTTTTAAAAACCCTACTGCTCCACAACCGTCTTCTCTACCAGCTCTTTTGCATCAACCTCTCATTCATTACCTTTTGAAAAATCTAGAAATCCCCTAGATATTGATTTGTGATTATGTAACAATTTTAAGCAGTATATAACAATCCCAATTAAATAATCAAGACAAATCAACACAACGATTTTAACGTGAAAAAACCACAATTGGACACTTCCAACTGTGATTAAAAAATCATGGGCAACAGCCACAAAATAATCCACTAAGAAAATTTAAAGGAATTACACAGGTGGACTCTCAATTACCTAGCGAATCTACGCCTAATTGAACCAACCTCTATGTGCCTCTTCCAGCCCCGTCTTCACCTCGGAATTGTCTTTACGATGAGCCACTCCAGAATTCACTGAAACTTCAGACTCGAATTCTTCAGAATCTACCGAAGAACAACTCTCTCTCTCTCTTGTGTGTAACAAACAAAATCTTTAATGTACTCTCTTTAAACCATGAGTTACATACTCAATAAAATATCAAAGAAAACTAACAAAATATCCCCAGATATAAACCTTAAGAACCAAAAAGAAGATCTGGAGGAATTAAATAATTTTGGGAGAAAACCAACTATTTATAGAAAATCCAAAAGTAATCATAATTTTGGAAGAAATCCAATTACTTATAGAAATCCAAAAGAAATCCTAATTTTGGAAGAAAATCAACTTCTTAAAGAAATCCTTGTCAAACGGGATTGCCAATAATAAAACCTAACAATCTCCCCCTTTGGTAATGCCGTGACAAACCACACCTAACAAATAAAATCCTAAACACCCCAATCCATTACAGCAAACAAAACCCAACTTTTTTCTCAAGGTCATGATCTGCAAAACAGTTATTAGTGCCACAATCTCCAAAACAACTATTAGTCCCACAAAAGTATATGAAAAAGCAATAAACATATGACACGGTTATCTTGAAACATGAGATGGAAAACATGAATAGATGAAAACTAAAACTCATGAAAAACAACTTTTAAATAACAAAAGCAAGATCATAAACAAACCCAAGTCAAGATGAACCAAACTCCCCCTCACTAAAAGCAACCACAAACACTGAAAACAGTGAACAAGAAGAAAACGACAAAAATAATATAGTGGAGCAAGCAAGAAATTTCAGATATGTACCTTAAAACACACAAGACTATCCAAGAAGCACAATTACTAGTAAACACAATGTGCACAGTCTGTAGAAGATTCCTTATGAAAGAAAGTGATGCATTATGTGAAAAGCATAGATCCCATGAGAAAAGTGTATGTGTGACTCTTGGAGTTCGACAAACACTAGATTCAATCCTAGCAGTGATCTGAAAGATGGACCTCCGACAAGAGAATCTAAGCACAACAAAGGAAAGTCAAACCACTAGGAATCAAGGGGTATTTGATGAGTAAAGGCGGAGACTCCCCCTCAATCAATGAATCTTTTCTTTTTTTCTTTATTTCTTTTGCATATTTTTTTCTTCTTCTCTTTCTTTTTCTGTTTCTTTTTCTTTTTCTTTTTTTTTTCTTTTTTTTCTTTTGCACACTCATTGGTGGCTGATACGCTCAAGAGTATGGAAACCGAACCAGAGAAGCATGGATATAATAAGGATGGCCTGGTTGTGACTCTGAGGTAGCCTTTTCCTCATGGCTAGACTACAAAGAATAGAGGGGAAAGCCATGGAGATGCAAAAAGATGGAGGACGGTTAAAAGACTCAACATCACCCAAGATATGCTAGTATAGGTCAATTCCTCTAGAAAAGCAAAAGATACAATGCCAGAAGTTCATAAAAAAAAATCACTAAGGCGGAAGACTCCGATATTTGCTAATCCAAGAGTGTGTACAGAATGAGACATACTAATCAAAATACACACTCCAAAATGAGTAATGACCAAAGAAAGCACACACATATTAACATGTAATGGATATTCTCTTCAATTCCAATATGTACCAAGGACCACTCAAAAATTTCAAGTTTGCAAAACCATATTAAGAAAATCTTTTATTTTTTTGGATTTTTATTTTTTTTTCTTTTTCTTTTTCTAAACAAAGCAAGACATAAAAAAAAAAAAAAAACATGCACACATTTTTTTTTCATTAAAAAAAACACACAGAAACCCAAAAACTAAAACAAATAAACAAATTAACACAAGTCAAGTTTTCTCACTCAAACCGCTTTAGTATGAAGAAAGTTGTAAGCATTGCGGTTCTTGGGTGGTGTTTTGACGTTGTGGTTCCCTTTGCTTTCAATAAGAACCCGTCTTGACATGGTTTCTAACTTCTTATTTCTAGGTCTAGGAAAACATAGCCTCTGTTCATGTTTGGTCTCAAGTAAATCAAAATAGCAAGGTTTATTATGGCCCTTAATCTCCTTATGACCAATGAAGTATCTCCTATCCCATGAGATGTTA